GGATGGATAGCCAAAGCGGACGGACAGACTCACAAATGTATCCCACAAACAGAGAATTGTCTGGCGTTACTGTTTTAGTTTGAACAACGTCGTTGTTTTTGTTGCTGTTGTTGTTTCTGATAATGACGTTTAAACAATTTAATTAAAATGTAATTAATTTTGGAGCCATTATGTAAACAGGGTTGGGCTCCCGACAACAAAGCTCCCCTTGTGGAGCATATAAATATGTATGTTATGTATCTTGTTACCTCATACCCTATGTCCCTCTCTCTCTCTTTCTCTCCCATCCTCTTTTGTTGTAATTGGATAATGTAATAATCACCCAACAACTAGTTGTAATTTTCTACAATTATATAAGTTTGGAGACTGAAAGGGGGAGGCGTGAGGCTGTTTGTATAGGGGGTTTAAATTGTTAATATGCTTTTAATGTTTTTCACAGGGCGTTAAAACGCAATTAACTAACATTAGTGTGAATAGGTATAATAATAGAATAATTTATGATCTAGAAAAGCTCTGATACTCTTGGTGGAACTATTACTTTGTTATATTTTTCATAAAAGTCTAAAATGTTTGGCATTTGGAAAGGATATGTGTTCCGTATCCTTCAAAATCTTCTAAACTATATAATATACATTCTACCAAGGACATTTGAGATACTTTTCCCATTGATTGGAATAATGGTCTTCCGTAGATGGTAGGGGACAACGCCGCTATGAAATATGGTTTCTTAATTAGGGAAACAAACATTTTTGATGATTTTGAATACATAATTGCAATGTGGAAAATTTAGTTAAGCTTCGATTGAAATCCGTGATTTAAATTTTTTAGTACTAGTGTCAAACAATTTATTTTCCCAAATATAAATACGACATCCGTTTCTTTAACGCTTAGCTGTAATTACGATTGGTGAGTTTTAATATTTATTTAGTTTTTAAGTCGAAAATAATTTTTAAATAAAAAAATCAAGGACAGGTAATGTAGACCACTACAACAAACGGGACCTTTTCATGGGGACAAGTTCAAAACATGTTCCCACATTAGAAACATTTCTGTGATATGTAAAATTTCAAATTTTTCGATTGGATAATGAAGGTAGAACCATTAAAATAGGGCAAATGGTGCGGTACCCTCAAAAAGGGGGTTATTCCAAGATTGAAATAAATAGAAAACAACCTACTTTTAAACTTGTAGTTGCAAATGGCCCGAATATACTGATCCACATTACCCGCCCTGTTATTTTTATTCGTAGTTTTGAGTTTTTATACCCTACACAACTATGTTGTCAGGGTATTATATCTTTGTGCAGCTCCAAGAATTTGTAAATATTATTATTTGTAAATATTGGTCCAGATCGTCATATATCGACTAACTGAGTCGATCTAGACGTGTGTGTCCGTCCATCTATAATAATTTGAAAACACGATACAGGCCACAGTTATGGTCCATAAGTTATAAACCAATCTTCACGACATTTTACATGTAGGGCCGGTTCTGGCCAATGAAGACCCCTATTGTTTTTAGTAAAAATCGGGTAATATTTAGGGGCTGGAATGGACCAAATACATAATTTTTATCGGTTTTTCTGGTCGATCCAGAGGCCGCAATTATTGGCCGAACATCGCGAGATTTTACATGGAGAAGAGGACCGAGCCAAAGAAGAAGCATGCCCTTTTTGATAAAGATCGTTCAATATTTAGCGGATCAAATGAACCCTGACTTTTGTCTGAAAAAATGAAAAAATGTATATTCTAAGGCGTATATGTTTACCCCTGAAGGACATATACTCGAGAATTTGTAGTATATCCAAGGGAAGTGGTAGACCTTTAAATTAATACCAATAATATTGTTCTATGTTATCGGATGCGGGAGTTATACGTAAATATTTAAAAGTGTCTATGTGTTATGATATTGTTTAGTATTAATATTACCCCACTAGAGGGCGGAAATGTAGCGCTTATCGCTTTGAAATTTAACATGAAGTCCCGGTTATGGTCAAGGACGAAGCCTATAATTTTCGGTGATGTTAAGATAACATTTAGGGGTTGCAAATAACCTCTAGTCGATCTAGAGGCCATTATTATATTCTGCATACTTTTTTACACGGTGAAGAGGATCTGACAAAGTCCTTAGAACGACTGTTTAGATGATGATCGGTCAATATTCCGAGGGACAAATCAACCAAAATCTAAAATAACAAAATTTTTATTTTATGGCGTAAATATGCACCTAGAGAAAAAAAGAAACGGACTTTTTTTCAACGTTACAAAGTGGAGCTATATCAGCTATAATCAGTGAAGAGGTTGCAAATATCGCGAAATATTACTCAGGCTCGGAATATGGATCTGAAGAAACATAGAGCTCCGTGGAAGTTGTGTAGGATATTATGTGTTCGGCCACGTCCGACCATGTTGCTCCGCTCACTGGTTTTTAATTTATATATATATATATATATATATATTATATAATGTTTGACCTGGAATATATTTAGACAACAAATCTACTATGTTATGAAAATAATATCTTTTAGTTTTTATCGTTGGTACGCCCACAATAGACCACATTACCCGAAGTTCCTCTAATAATGTTCACTTTCATTATAATCTCCAGTTGCAACTGTTTAATTAACCGTAATTTCTTGATAATATTTCGACACATGTCAATGTTATGAAACATTATTTTGACTTTTAGGGACCCCACCCATTCTAGATTTTAAACTTCGACCGGCTGGCAAATGAGCGTATATTACGTTAAAGACTAGTAACTTTGCATACATGTATTTTGAAAATTTAAAGAATAAGAAAGTAAATGAATAAAATGTTGCCGTTGTCTTGTTGTTCTTTTTTACAATTAAAGGAAATAGCTTCCTTTCGATGGCGGGCATCCGAATATCAAAATTTTAACGCAATTTGAAAGAGCAAAAATCTGGTTCTGGATTATGGACTTCGCTTAGCAAAATCGCGGGTTTAGAAAAATTATTTTTTGGGAAATCGCCTATTTTCGGCCTAAAATCAAGCAGAGGTGATTTTCACAGTTTGGATTTATCCAAGGAATAACGTGTTAAAATTTGCAACCGTTTCGATTAATAGTTGTCCAGTTATCGTGCCCGCCAATAGTACAAAAAAATACTGCTTCGAGAAAAACGCTTTTAAAGTTTGAGAAGCACTCTTGCCGTCGCTTGATGCTGATACAATAATTCGTCTATATCTTTAAGAGTTGTTAGGGTTTTTACTTGCAAAATTTAATGAGACAAAATATAGAGGATGGGAGAAGTAAAATGGAGGATATATGTCGATACCTTATTCGTCTATTTGTCCTTATTTTTTGTTTTTAAACCGTAAAAAAAACATCGCAGGACGACATTTTCAGACCATAATATATTTATCGATCTTTTCCACTTTCACGCGATCCATGCTGGGAAAACTTTTTACGTACGAATCCTAATAAATTTTGACTAAATTGTACATTATGAAGAACTTTAGGATTCATCTGAAATATTTACATTTATTTACGACAGATCAGACAGATCAGGATTCATTAATCGAATTTTAAGATAATAAAACCAACTTTTGTTTCGGTTTTTTTTATCAACGAATTAAAATTATATTCTAGAAACATTTATGTATGTAGGTCCAGTAAACGTGGACCTACATACATACATTTTTGCATGGACATTTGGTACCCAAAGAGAACTCTCTGTGCAATTGCAGTAGACAAAAAATACTTTAAGTCGGGTGATACGGTTATACGGACCCAATTTTCCATTTCAATATTTGCTTTGACATTAGAAACATGTAAGCAATATTTGGCCGCCAATTTTTGGGTAAATACTCGGGTATTTACCCACGTCTTTAAAGTATCGAAAAACTATCCATTCTAAATCGATTTGATAACAGAAACCTGGAAATAGGGTATAATATATTGCATTACCGATACAGGTTATAACTTAGACCTGAGCACTGACATTTTACTAATTGAAGGTCTGTTTATAAAATTTACAAGTTTACTACGTGTGTAGTGTATGAAAGGTGAATTGTAGATATTTATGCCACGTTCGACTATAATGTTTCGTTGAGTGATATTTTCTTCAAAATGTAATATTTTATTTTAGAACTTAAATATTACACTAATAATTTACTTTTTTTTTAATAAAATGTTGTTTAGTGCGAAGCTTGGAGGGTTTTGTACATAATATACAACGATAAAAAAAATAATTTAGAGAAAATCACAAGGTTAAGGTTAAAGGTTTTCTTTTTTTGGAGGGGTTTTGCCATTTTTTGGTGTTCCTTTAAAGGACGTTGAGTTAAATGCAATTAATAAACTGTCTTCTGCATCCGCCTTGCACAGATGCCAAATGAATCCAGGTGTCCTCTTTAAGTATATCCAAGTAATTTTTGATATATTCAGGTAAAAAAATTATATTTTAACCGATCCCATATAAAAATCACTTCCCAATGCATTTTGAAAGGGAGGTGAGTTTTTTTGGAATATCGCGATTGTATTTTGGGTTCTCTAATGGGCAACGCAATTCCTCCCCATACGGATAGAAAAAACATGTACCTATACAGTTTAGGTTTTTGTATGGAGCTATCCCATGTTTGTTTCCCCATAGTATCAATTTGCTGAAGTATTTGTGTTTTTTTAAGAAATACAGTATGGGTTGTAATTATTTTCCTACATCTCTAAAATATCTTAAATATTCATTTCTATATTTCGTGGAAGATCTCTGAAGCTCTAGCAGAGGATTTTGAGAGTTTCATGGGAATTTGTGATATTTTAAGTTTTCGGCATTATTATTGCCTTTCCCTAATGCCGATATTATCAGACGGTTAAAGTTCCATTTTTTCCTTATGATGTACTATAAAATTTCCGATCAGTTTAATAGTGTTTTTTAATATTTTTAACGATTATTATTTTCATTTTTTAATAGTTATTGTAGGAACAATTGTGGATTGTAAGGCTCCCTCAAAATAACCCATATTTATAAATGCCCCCAAACTTACCCGGAAATCGATGCGAAAAAATACGCCCATGACGCGACAACAACCACGGGTACAACGGATAGGTGTCCCTTATTAAATGTGGATTACCAAATGGCGGATGATGTGGTCCCGGTGGAAATAATCCCAAATGATGACCGTGCATTAGATGTGGAGGCAGGTGTGTTGGCGGAGGTGGTGGTGGACCCGGCGGTGGAGGTGGTGGTACCTGCCCGCCATGCGGACCAACTTGATGCTGTTGTTGCTGCTGCTGTTGTTGGTGATGAGCCAAAACGGCGGCCATTTGAAATTGTGCCGCCAATAGATGAGGATTTGATGTTGGCGTTGGACCGGTGGGTGAGGGTGGCAATAGAGGATTTGTAGGTGAATGACCCAATATGGATGGTTGAGCACCATCTGGTGGCCGTATTAGGGGTAAAGTACCTGGTGCCGGTAAAGGAAATGGTCTTACTAAACCTGGTGGCAATGTGGGTAGGCTTTTGAAAAGTCTTTGTTCCGTTGGTGAGGTGGCGGTAGCAGCGCCTGCAGCAGTCGTGGGAGGTGGTGGTGGTGAATGTAAGGGTGTTGTGGAACGACTACTTGCGGCATGATTATCCAATGGTGTGGGTGATTGTGTGTGTTCATCACGCGAAGTGCAATCACGTATGGGTGAGGATACATTAATGTCGTTGGTTTCGGCATCGGATTGAGGGCGTTTTATCACAGCTGTTGAACGAGGATTTTGAAGAAGTGGGGTTGGTGATGTGTTATTTAATCGGTTACTCCGTAGTTCTAAAGGTTCCAGGTTTTCGTGGGAATTTAAATTTTGATTTGTTGGTGAGTTGCTGGTAAGCCTTGGTGCCCCAATAATCCTTAGCCGGGGTTGATAGGAGTTGTTGGGTGATGTTGACCTTGGTGCATCCGTTGTTTTTCGTTGCTCCCCACCCACCAAAGCGTCTATGGTAAATGCCAGCTTGGGTTTGCTGTGCATTGTCACTGCCACGGTGGTTGTTGTTGTTGTTGCTGCTGTTGTGGATTTTATGGGATTTATGTTCGATGTTACCACTGCAGCCGCCGGATTTGCTTTGCTGGCAACATTAAATGGATTTATCGGCACCAGGGGCAGCATTGTTGTCAATGTTTGCTTTTGTTGTTGGCGGCGGCTACACGTGACCATTGGCAAATATGTGGAGTTGATGTTGTTGTAATTTGTATAGTTATTTTTTTGTTAGACACTCACTTTTGTTGTTGTATTTTTTTATAATTTGAAATGCTTTATTTTTTGGCACATTTTTTCGAGTAGAATTTTTTTTTAAATTTGTGTATGAACAACCTGTATGACACGGGTCTGAATGGCTTGTAATGTCACAACAAAGCCTTTAGGCGTCTGGTCGCTTGCCGCTTTAATTGAACTCGCAATTCGTAACAGTTGACAGTTAAATGCTTCGCTGCCTTATCGAAGCCCAAATCGATTGGGACTAATGGAGCATAACCGTTACGCTTTAGCGTTGCGGCAGCAACAACAACAACCACAACAAACATTTAACGCCATCATGGCCATTGTTTGCGGTTGCATTTTTTTATTTTTTGTTTGGAATGCAATGGCAGCGGTTTACGTTTGGCGTTCCGAAGTGGTATATTTTTTTCGGTTACTTCGTTGTAATTTGAACAAATTGTTTTTAAATGCTTGCACTCACACACACATGCACACACACGCGGACTCTAAATTACAGCTATGACCCGTTGATACAACACTTTGTATCGGCACGCAATATAACTACTCACGCTCACGGTATTATGGCGAGCCCAACTGAAAATTCACGCACATTCATGTAAGTTTAACAAACTATTTTTTGGGCTAGACGACGATTAGCTAACGTTTTATTTTTCGTACGTTAGATGGCCACTAGGTGTAACAAAGTGACTGACTGACAACCCAACTAAACAATGTGCGCCATACCAGTCAGTTAACTATTCAAGTTGCCATACCCGGTTTTTCTGACTGACTTTGTTGTGGCAGCAATTAGCGGATTTCGAATTAATGGGCCATGTTCATTGTTAACATAACCGCGCGTTAATAACGACAGCAACAACAACAACGCCAATAACTGAAACAACAAACGTGTTGGCCACCCCCCTCTTCACAAGGAATGGTTAACGCACGGGGTTTTCTGAATTCAATTCGATATTTGTGTTTAACCGAACCGGTAGGTAACGCGCTGAAAGTTTCACTCACTGTTAATTGACTTGCAATCTCAACTAAACTAAACTCTTTAGCAGTGAACAGTTCACATTGAACACACACAGGCTGGATGGCTGGAAAACGATGATGATTACGACAACGACGACGACGCTTTCATCGTCAAAAGCCATCATCATGAAGGGGGCATTCATACGACAACAAATGGTTGTCGTTGTTGTGTTTGTGTGTGTGTGTGTCTTGTGAGGCATTCGTCTCGTTGTTTGGCTGGCAGCACCCAACATGCCAGGCAGCCAACCAACCATGCACATTCAAGCAAGCAACTTCACATGCCATTGCCTTCTAACCAATACAGGAGAAGCTTAACGGAAGCTTTATGCAACCCAGGAGAGAAAGAGCAAACGCTAGAGTCTACCAAAGGTGGTAACATCTCTCGTGTTTGGGGGGGGGGGCGAAACAACACAAAACAACTTTTTTTTTTTTTGCAGGAGCTTAACTCTCACACTGTGGAGAGAGAGATGTGAGAGTGTTCTCTGCAACATTCCTTTGCCGTGCTCACCCATACTGTCATGGGTTCTCACAGCTCACGATTTTAGCACATGATTTGATTTATATTTACGAAGGGGGAAGGTGGGAGGGTAGTAATGGGTTTCTTACAAAGTTTTTTCACACCAGCTAATTATGGCCAAACGAAACGTGAAAAAGAAACAAATGAAACGCGAATAAGAAGAGGCCAGGTAATGAATACAAGAAGCTGGAGCTTCTTACACATTGTGCTCAAGATAATACAAAGATGGGAAATAAAGCACAGTGGTTACAATAAAGTTTCTGGAGTTGTGATATGTTGTAAGGGAATACCCTTGTGCGGCGCAAATTATTGGTCATAGACCAATAGCTGTGTCGATCTAGACATGTGTATCCGTCCGTATATCTATTATAATTTTTAAACACTATACAGGTCACAGTTATGGACCAATCGTCACGACCCTCATTTTTTTGATAAGTCTTTATGCTATGAAATGGACCAAAACTTTATTTTTATGGCTTTAACACATGAGAAAGGATTCTGACAATGGAATAAGTATAACTGTTTTGGTGAAGACCGGTCAATATTTAGCGGGCCCCTTCTGAAAGATATAGACCCGAGAAGATGATTGATTGTATATCCAAGAGGGATGGTTTATATTTAAATTGATACCAATTTTTATTGCGAGTTATACTTAATCTTTACCGGGGTATATAAATTTTTATATTGTTTAGCATTACCACACTAGAGGGCGGGATTGTATCGCTAAGACTAGGAAAATGTACATGAGGTACAGGTTATCGTCAAGGACCTCTAATTTTCCATAATGATCAGGTGATACATATATAGACCGAAAACGTTCTTTTTGTCTTTTTTCTAGACGCTTTAGAGGCCACAATTATAATCTGAAAAATAAAATTTTTTTTCGAATAGCTGTGAGGTCAATATCTAATTGGCCAAGAGAGTGCAAATATCGCGAAATATTTCCCAGGCTGGGAATTTAAATCCGCAGAAATTGAGCGTTCAGTGATAGTTATATAGGGTGTCATATTATCGGACGGGCCGATACTATACTACTCCGCTCACTATTTTTATGCTTAACTCTAGTTTAGTAACAACGACCCGATTTAAAAAAAGTCAAAGTTTTTGCACTCGGATTTTTTACACATCGAAATATTCACCGGAGACCTCGTAATCTTGATCAGCATAAAATTCTATGTCGATCATAGATGGAGATGCAAATAATGATAGAGATGCGTCCATCACGCGACAACAGGCAAGGATTCATCATATGGGAACTACAAATGGCGAATCTTGTGGTCCCAATGGAAATAGTCACCCAAATGATGACTGTACATTAGACATGGAGGCAGGTTGTTGTTTTTGTAGTAACTTTCTGAATGTTTGTTGTATTTTTTGTGTATTGCTCTGGTTCTGACTCCTCTGGCTACGTCCAAAGCGATTCTGGAGACATATGAGTGGGCTTAGCAGGGCAGTTGAAGAGAGACAGCGTATCGTGAGGTCCAGGTGCACACGCAGTGCATTTCTTTGGTCAATTCGGACCAAATTGAGGTGACTGCTCCATCCTGATCTTAATTTAGTTAAAAACACTCTGTCGTTCTTTTGCTATATATAGGTGGTGGGTGGGCTCCACGAACTGCATTCACTCGGTATTGGTCCATTGCCTGGGTCTCTGCTTCCGTGTGAATGCTGGCAATTCCTGTTCGATAAGCCTGTTGATCTAGAGGTTCTCTTTTAAACTGTTGGACCTCCCTCTCCTGATCATGTAGGTCTCTCCTTACATGTCTGGGTGGGTCTCTCCTTACATCTATCCATAAAGTGATGGCATGGATGATTCCGGCGATAACACCCAAGCAGGAACTGCATCGACAACATTCTGTTGTGACGATGTACGGGTAAGACCATTGCCTCCTCATGTAAATTGTCTACTGATGTCATAAGAAGACGCCCTGTTGCAGTTCTCAGAGAGGTATTCTGACAGGTTGTTGTGGACCCGATTTTGACAATGTTATAAATTTGTAATTTTTTTTTTGTTTTTTTTTTTTTTTTTAACAGATCCCAGGTTCTTGGAGGTTGTAAAATATCAAAGTGGAAAATTGTAAGGTAGACCCATGTTTCGACATAACTCCCATAATGAAATGCTGTCCTCTTTTCGACATTTAGAAGGTTTTAGCCTCATTTCCCTACCACAGTGATTGTAGTTTGGCATTTTGACTTCCTAGGGAATACAAATTTATTTACAGAAATTTTTTTACTTAAGACCATGTTTCATATAGACCCCATATTGGTGATTTTTTGTACGTTTCTCATTTGAATTGAAAGTAATTTGTTATTTTGGATTCTCAATGTGTAGCAAATATTCCTAAAAAAATAATAAATTTTGGTCCAATTTTTAGGATAGACCTTAATGATACTTTGAGAATTTTTGACGTGTTTTCTACCGAATTGACTGTAATTATGTAAATATATAATATGTCCTCGATGGAAAACTTTCTCACAGAATATTTTCAATGTATATAGATGTCTTGTATTTATCGGAGATGTTGTGAAAAACTTTGCTCGAAGGACCATCAGAAGTAAAGGCGATTTATTCAAGATGTATATATTCAAAATCTATATATTTATCCACTGTGCATTCAATACCTCCTTGCATTTTCTTTTCAAACACAAACATATGTACAAATTTATATAAACAACATAGAATATTACATACAGACAGACAAACAAGCATATGTGCAGCAATGTCGAGTTGTTTGTTATTTGTCTGCAAAATTTATTTGTAAATGTGGGCGTTACCTAAATATAAATGCCCGAAAGAAACATTGGCGCTGCAAACTCCAAAAAAAAAAAAAGAAACTAAACAACCAACAACAAAAACAAATGATGAAGCCACGAAACTTGGCGCATTTAAAACTGGATATCTCCAATTCTCCTTGGTACTGCTGCTGGATGGTGGTGCTGATGGTAGCTTAGCAGAGGTGTTGTTTGTTTGGTTCTGTAAGTAAGTGCCTGGTAATAAACACCTCATCTTAAACAGATGCGATGGATGGATGCTTCACTGACATGGCATGATTGTAATGGCAATGGTGAGTGGTGGTTTAGGTTGGGTTGGTTGGTTGGTGGTGGTGATGGTGGAGGTTCAGTTGCTTGGTTGGTTGATTGTTGGTGTTTTCTTGCACAGATAATTTCGACTCGAAGTAAATAACTTGAAGAGAGCCCAATTTGAATGGATGATGATAAAGACAGACTGGCGGACAGACAAAAATGGGAGGAAGTGTTAACAACCATCCTGTGTGTGTTCATTAGAATTCCTAATGAAACTTAAGTCATATCAATTGTGTATGTCGTGTCGTCGTGGTGTTGATGGTAGTGGTGTGTGTGG